GGGAGGCACATTCATTGGAATTGCGGAATGCCGGGGCCTTTCGGAAGTTGAGGCGGCCTCCTGCTCCAACCATCGAACCGGAATCGGAGAGGAGAACCGGAGGAGGAAGGCGGAGGTAAGAGTAGTCGAGGTGGTGGTGGTGAGAGGATCGGATGGCTTCGGCGGGAGGGAAGGATTGGAGAGACGGAGAGAGAACGATCATGAGCATTGCAGCAGAGAAGAAGCCAGAGAATCTAATAATCCACAGCATCTTATTCTTCTTCTTCTTCTTGGTATTATTGTTGATGTTGTTGTTGCTGCTGGTGCCGCCGCTGCAGAAAGGTCCTCTCCTCCTCCTCTTTCTCTTAAACTGGAAGAAATCGAAGAAATTGAAATGATCTCCTGCTACAATCGACGAAAGGAACGCTAAGGTTCCTTTGAGGTCCGCCAGAATTGTAGAGAGAGACCGATTGGCGTTTAAAAGTGGCAATCACGGCAAACTTAGAGAGTGAATATAAGCAAGCAAATTAGGGGGATTAAGAAGAATGCTTTGAGTGGGAGGGAATCTCGATCCTTTCCTCTCTATCAAAGTGTAGTGTGGGGGTTGTTGCCGTGGGAACCAAGCGAAGCGACCTTTTTGAATTTTCAGGGAGAAAAAGGAGGAGGAAGAACCCCCATCCATGAACCTCTCAGGCCAGACACGGCGAACAAGAAAAGGCGCGCCGCCGTGTGCTCTACCCTTCCCCTTCTTCTCCTCTTCTGTCTCTCTTGCCTCACTCTATTATTAAGCTCTTCCTGGGAGTATCGGACTAAGAGAAGATGAAACTGTGAAAGAGACGATGGAGCGGAGGCACAGCACAACTAGGAGAGAGAGAGAGAGAGAGAGAGAGAGAGAGTGGAGAAAGGGAAAGTGAGACCTTTTCTTTTCCTTTCCAGCTTTACATTTTTCCACCATAGAAATCCACGGGTAAACATAAATTGTAATTTATTTATTTTTAAGCGTAAAGTTATAAATTTTAATCTAATACGTGACGTTTTAATTTCTGGAATATAAATCTGAGTTTGGATAGTGGTAGAAATCTAGAAATAGTAAACTAAAAAATAAGAGATTCAATGCATATGACATCGCAGAGCCTCGTAGAAGGAAAGAGGGGAAGGGGCCAGCTGTTCTCCTGTCTTGTACCAAAATGACGATTGCAACCCAGGCCACGGGGCAAAGCCTCTTCACTCCACATCCGGACGGTTGTACATGTCACGCATCCTCTTTTCTTGACTTGTTGTGATCTGATTTTTAAAACTTTTTCAGGTAGGTGTGTGTGAGGTGGAGCGAGAGATTAATTTAGGAATTAGGACTTGCTCGATTTAGTATTACTTTGGTTAAACCCATACCAAACCATGGAAGGTGATATATATTCGACGAGGTAGAGTATATGTTGCATATAGGGGTAGCTGTGACACTCACACCAATCATTGCCATATGTGTTAAAGGATGAGTAACATGTGCGTCTATATAAGATTTTTGAGTCAGTGATCTTCATATTTTCACTCCAACTTCAAGAAAAACCGGAATAGCTTGGGTCAATTTGTTTGGTTTTATTATACAAGAAAAGACTTGATTCCCTTCGAATGGAAATAGTTAAGTTAAAGGGAAATTTTTGATTATTTATTTAAATAAACAGTTTATATACCTATGTTATGTGTGATACGTTAGAGAAGTGCCTACACATAAATTTTGGAATTCCTTTATACATTAAATTAATATTTATTGAGCGTTTCGTCAAGCCTATAAGCTATATTTCGCGCTTTGCATGTTTCCTTCATTTGAATTGATTTTATTGAAATTTATAATATTTGTTCTTTACATCTGTTTCTTCAAATGACAAAAAATTTAGCACCATTAGGGCAATGATCATTGTAGATTTTGGAATGAATTTTGTCAGTGAAAATTATTCTGATACGGAATTTTTCTTGGCAGTGACTGAATTACGACATTAGAAGACACTTGAAAATAAAACTATGATACTATTGTCAAAGTGAATTTTGGAAATTGAACGAGACATTTCCTACAAATCGTGTCGTGTGTGTAGGCATTCAAATGTTAGGTCCCGTTGTTTTCGTGTACGTAGTGGGTCTTGGATACGAATCACAATACGATGTTTGGCCATTTTCCTTCAATTTATAACTACCCCTATGTTGCATGCTATGTTCACTACAGTAGCACCACATCACAATGAGATGAGATGAGATGAGAAAAAAGCCGTTTGATCTCCATCCTCGTCATAATTGAATTTGAAGAGAATGGGAGCCCACACCACAAGGAATCATTCAGCAAAAGTCTCTGTACGTAGTTTACACGAATTCGTAGAGGGGCCCCGCAGAATCTATGCTGCTATGCTGATTTGTCATTTTGCTTGCGCACATTTATCGCACGTATATATAATATATAATATACGTATGTATGTCGACCCAATTGGAAATTTGCACGAAATTCAAAGACCTCGGGAAAATCTTTAGCTCAAGCAGAAAACATCAGAAGAGCTCAGGCCTTTCCAGGCCAGGCCCGTTGGTGTAGACCAGCTGGGAGGTCAAACCAATGGCGTGGTACCACGTGGAGTCGATCATTGATCCCCATCCCTGTGATGTCGTCAAGTCCCATTGAGTTGAAGCGGATGCAGGCAGGCGTACGGTACTCTCTCTCTCTCTCTCTCCCTCTCTCTCCCTCGCAACGCAGCACAGCTGTGTTTTGTGAAGCGCCTCGGTTGACGCAACACCATTATAGTCCGTACGCTTCACTTCTCTAACGCCAGCCTGGCCACGCCTCTCTCTGCAATCTGCAATCTGCGATCTGCAATATCAATAATATTAATATTAATATTCAAGTTGTGCGTTTTACATACAAGTTGCACATTTTAACAATTCGATTTGGTCCAACAAAAATAACATTTCGATTCGAGAAAGTCCAACAAAAAAGAAAAGTAGGCATAGCCCAGTATGCATGTATTTTGAACGGGGCTAGGCTTTGCTGCGAATAGCCCAGCCCAGCCCAGTATAAAAGCTCGAACTAGTTGACTTGTAGCCCACAAACGAGACATAGCATTATGATTAAAGTGAAAGGAAGGCCGGGATTGAGTGGTGTCTGCCAAGTGGCGGTAGTCAACGATTCATGTGAAATCCGATCCAAGGAATCATCAACCCACTGTTTTATTAGAATCATAAGTTTTATAAGTAATGGAATGATGTAGTTGAAGTTGAATCACATATAAAAAGACGTGGATCACATGTAACAAGTTACTAAGAAATCTCATCTCTCTTGAAGAAGGCAGTTTAAATATTAAAGATGGGATGAAGAAAAACATCATCTCTTCTTCTTCGTCGTCTTCATCTCATAAAAGGAACAAAACTTGAGTGATACAACATTAATAATGCTATCGTTTTGTTTTTGTTTGTTGGGGGTAATCCACAAGAACATCAACGTTGACGTGTACAACACTAAACTCTTTCGTGTTTCATGCCTTTAATTAATAAGTCACAACTCACAATCTTGTCGGCCGGTTGTTCCCCGCCTTGATTAATCAATGGCGATTGCCAAACTTATTGATTCGATATGAGCTACAAGATACGATGAGCCACATGCACTTTTAATTGGAAAGATGCTTATTTATTTATTTATTTGCTTCATTCATCAACAAAATCATAATAATTATTAATAATCTATCACCACCACCAGGCTTCTATCACCTTTTATTGCCAATCTACCCCCCATTACAATTTGCTACAAGAGAAGAGATTACTAAAATCTCAACTCACACAGCATTTTTATCTTTCATTTTTTGTGCGTGCGTCTGTGTCTGTGATGTGATTATTATCGTCGGGATTTACCGTCGACTAACGATTTCTGAGCCAAACTTGGCTGCGTCGCTGGGCACCAACTGACCTTGCGCCAGCATCAGGGACTTGTAGATCTCGACAATCATCTTCTCATCATACTCCTTAAGTGGGCCCTTCCCGAAGGAACCGCTACCGTAGTCGCACATGGGCCCCCCACCGAAGCCGGTACTAAACATCCCCGAGTTAGCGAATCCCAGCATCAGTTTCACATAGGCGTCCCGGAGCCAAACCAACAACTTCTTCGGCGAAGGCATTCTTCTCATTCTGAGGAAGCTCAGCTTCAGCTTCCGACCCATTTTTATTTTGATTCGGATCCGCCGTGCACGCCTTTTGCTGCCCGAACGCAGCTCCGTCAGTCGACCGGACCCATTTAGCTTCTCGTAGCCTCTCCTCCGCCAGTAGCCTCTCAACCCTTTGTACATGCTTGTAGAGACACCTTCCATTGTTCTTGCCGCGCGCTGCTTCTATCTTTCCACTTTAATTTTGTAATCTCTCTCTCTCTATCGAAAATTAGTTTACAGCGTAGATATGAGGGGGAGAGAGCAAAGTGAAGGTGGGTGACGCTATTATATAATAATAATCAATAATTTATAATCCATCACTCAATTCTCAATTCTCAATTCTAAATGTATATGATGGTCTACATAATAATAATATTATTAAAAGAGAGGTGGTGATCTAGTGGTCATAAATGAGAGGGGCTACCTGCATTTCTCAAGCTTGTCCTAGTCCATATTGAATGTGGGTGGGTGGGCACGGCTCGTGCTACATGCATATGATGCTCAACGTCGTTGGATCATTTTTCAACCTTGTTATTATTACTTACTGCCGTTGGATCATTTTCAACCCTGTTACTATTAGTATAATTGATTTGTTCTATTTTTCTCAGCTGGATCCCACCGGTAAGATATGTACAAATAGATGTACAATTGCAATCTATATTTACATCTCATGGTGGTGATGTAAATATACATTCATTTACACCCTCATTACGAGTAATTCCGATCACCCGGGGTATATATTTAACATACATCCTATTATACACCCTCTCACTGTGGATGCTCTTAGGGGTGAGCGCGGTTAAAATTGAAAAAAGAGACTATACGACATGAATGAGGTCGTTTCGTCATAAACATGAATGTGCGTATGTGCAGAAGAAGAAAGAGACTATACGACAGATTTTGGTTTTGCCATTCACAAGTAATTCATGCCTTGAGTTAACAGTTGAGACTCAAAATACGACAGGTTTTGGATTTTTAATACATGCATTTCTTGCCTCGTCTTCTTTTACTAATCAAGTTCACAAAATCGAAACCTAGAAAAGAAAAAAAAAGACTAATCTACAAGGAATCTAATTACTTCCTCATTCATACGAGTAAAAAAGTAATTAAAATAAATAAATAAATAATAATGTCCTCATTCATACTTACTTTGTAGGTATTTCATGCATTGAACAAGCAATCTCTTTCAAATCCAACAGATTTGTCACGCATTAATTAATTCGTGCAATGCAAAGTCACACAGCCTGCTGTAACTTTTCCACCTCATAAACATAATTAATAGAGTTGGCCGCTACATGGGCCCCCAAGCCAACTATCAGCATAGCATATTAGCATGCATTCCTTACCCTACATTATTCCATCACAAAATTAAACTTGTTAAGGTAAATAAATTAGGTGAATTAGGTAAATGGAGCTGTTTGTTGGGAATAAGTTAACCGCGTCAATGAGTGAACCTCCAAATCCAAACCAAATCATTTTTGTTATCAGTAACAAAATTAACCCCCTCCAAAAGCTATCTTAACACACACCCATAAAAGCATATCTCACAAGAAAAATTTCAACAAACCTGGAAGAGCAGCTATCAAGAAATAGGAGGTTGGAGCCCAACCTAATAAATAATTTTCCCATGTTGGGCTGGGCCCAGTCTCTGTCTGTGGCCTTACCTGTTCCTTTCCTTAGGGTTAGGGATGTATCTATGTCTCTGACTCTGAGTCACTATTTTGGGTGACCACACAGAAGAACCTACCGAAGTGCCAAACCGATGTGCTGTAATGTAACCGCATGCGGTAGTGGGACCAAAGCAGCCGATCGAATATGCATATACATAATACAATTAGGATATCAATTCCTTAATAATCTATGGTATAGATAAATTTATATTCATATTAAGAATGGAAAATAGAAAACAATATGTAATTGCGAAAATTTGAACACACACTTTGATTAATTACCAGGTTACAGTCTTACAGTCTTACAGACATACAACAACTAAAAAGTTAAATACTGATTTATTCCAGGCATCATGAAATGAAAAGTTACATCAGAAAGGAATGAATTATATAATATGTTTAAGAGGGGGAAACACATTAATATTACACACTAGAGCTAATCGCGCTTCAGTGAAGAAGGCCTTATTACAAAAGAAAAGAATAGCTTAGCTAAGGGGCTAAGGGGCTAAGGGGGGAGAGAGGGAGAGAGAGACATATATCATGTCACATGCAGTATCAGTACTGAACTAGCTAGCTAGCTACTGCCGACGGTTATTTGTTCCCTACTTACCTAGAAGAAGAAGAAGAAGCAACTTGAAGTGAACAAGACAAATATGGAAGCAAGAGTGGAGCAGGAGGAGTGCATTCTCGAATGAACCGATTTAGAAGGATAAGGGCGTTCTGGAGGACTAAAATTATCTGTAGGATAAAGGGGTGGGGCTATTGGGTTGCCTGGAACATAGGGTGGCGGCGGCGACCGGTACGGCAATAATGAGGGCACATCTGCCCCTGGAGGAGGAGAAGAGGTGGAGGGGGTTCCGCCGCAAACGTCACAAGAAGGAGGAAACACCGCTACCGGTGGTGGTGGGCATTCAGGGAGAGCTGGCGGTGGTGGTGGGCATTCAGGGAGAGCTGGCGGTGGTGGTGGGCATTCAGGGAGATTTGGCGGTGGTGGAGAAGGAGGTGGTGGAGAAGGCGGTGCAGGAGGTGGTGGGCATTCTTTGATAACGGGTGCTGGTGGCGGTGGTGATGATGGCACAGGGCATGGGTTGGGACACTCTTCACACATTGTGCAGGTTGTTTCGTCTTTGGACACTGCTGCTGCTAGTACAACTGGTGAAGCATATGCACGCAGTAGCATGACAAGGAGAGTTGTGGTGATGGTCAGTGTGATTCGCATTGAAATGGGAATTGAATTAGCCATAGAGAAGAGATAGAAGACTTCCTATCAATCGATACAATAGTAAGAGACAATATTAATGTTGATCAAGACTGGTTCACGTCATGAGCATATATAAAGACAATGTTGATTTGGTAGAGAGCTGGGAGCCAAGTATGCATGTGTATTGGTGACCGCACCCTTTGTCGGTGTTTTATCTTCTACGATACACCCTCCCCCCGTCAAAATAATTTATTATAAATAATATAAAAAGGACAATAGTTACATACGTACGTGTTACTCAATTCCAATTTATTATCTTGTACGCTTTTTTCTCAAAAACAGTGCCATCTTCAAGCCTAGATATATGGCTATGTATTAGCTAACTGCAGCAGTTGGAGTTGGAGATGTACAGAAATGTTTAAGTTAACTAGTAGTAGGATAGGATGGTATGATATCACAGGCGCGTTATGTATTCCAAAAATTACCTCCAAGTACTTCCTAACTGATTCTAGTAATAATATTGGTAAAATAATGCGCATCCCAATAAACTTACCAGCAACACTTGCACTTTCGTTAGCAACCCGCGCACCTTCCCTTTCTTTCAAGACCTTCTTTATTACCTTGGCATCACCAGTAACATCAAGAACAAGCTTGACAGACGCCAACTCCAGATCAATGTTCAGCACAGAACTTGGAGGGGCAGAACAGAATGAAACCCATTGTTTGCATCCCTCCCCTCCACGCCAAAGGCATCTACAATTATTTATGCAACTTTCATTGTCAGACGATTCATTCTTTTTTTTTCTTTTTCTTTTTGCCAGACATATATAGCAGTATTATAACAAGGATAAAGACATACACTGAGGTTGAACAATTAATCTGCCCTTTTCATTGTCTTGATTGCTTTTGGCAATGCTGAACAAAAATGGCCTGAAACACACACAAACCCCACGTTAATATTCAATTATCACAAAATGGTATAATCACAAAAGGAATTGCCTTTCCTCATTAAAATCACATCAGATTAAGACCAAAAAAGAAAAAGTAAATACCATCTTTCACATAGAATTCAATTCCTTCTTCTGGTGTCTCTGCAACAACGCCACCCGATACTTGACTGCATTAACAACAAAGTTCCAATAAAAACATCAAAATTGAGGTTGACAGAACTGTGATTACATGCTATTAACACAATATAATAAGCAATAAAGAACTCAAATTGATTAGATAGTGAGGCATCAGAGTACCAAGAACTTCATCCAAATCACCAGCCTGCTCATTCCTTTCTCCTTTCTCGATAATCTTCTTCACAATCCCACCATCTTTGCTCAACAGCATTGGACGGCACAACAGAGCCACCCCCACAAACAACACCATAGCCCAGCTCAGCAGGCAATGTGAACAATACAAACTCTCCCTTCTTCGTAGAGACCACGCCATGGTCCAAACCCTTCACCACTCCACCCTCACCGAGCTCGGGGGTTTCGTAGCCATGGCCGCGCTTGAGAAGCTTCTTCTTGAGGCCAGAGCTACCGAGCTCTCTCTCTTCGCCGACTTTGAGAGGTGGCGCTGATTCGATCACCTCGTCGGGCTACTCGTCGAGGTCGTCCTCGTTCTAAATGTCTGACACGTCTGTGGCTTTCTCCGCCTCCATGGTGCAATCGGAACTACAAATGACGGTAGCACGGAAGCTGTGATTTTTCTGCGGGTGAGATTAAATTAGAGTGAGGGGATGAGCCGACGAGGCTCGGCGGTGGTGCGGTTATGTGGCGGGACGGGAACGGTCGGAGATTTGGAAATGAAAGGAGAACTGTAACGGCGTTTTGGTGATTTCAGATTATGGCCCCAAAGAGTTAAGCCCAAAACGACTGCGCTTTAATGACCAACAATCAAAGTTTGAAAAATGGGCCTAGACGGGTCTGGGCGGGTCGGGTATTTTTATTTTTATTTTAAAGAAAATGTTTTTTTTATTGGGCGGATCCGGCATCTCTGCAAATACATACATCAAGATCAAGCTGGGGCTTTTAGCGACGCTCTCTTTCTCAGCGTTTATCAACAACGTAAAGGTTAGCTCTGCTTCCCAACAATTCACTCTTCGTTCTTAAAGTGGAGCTTTGTGATAGATATTGAGCTCTTTCTATTGAATAAGTCCACGTGTTACCCTGAATTTCGTCTCTTTGAAAATTCAAACCCTGCAAGCTGGGAAATTGTGATGAAATATATATGTATCATTTGATATTTGGCATTTTAATCCTTGGAGACTGCATACTCACACTGCATCTATATCATCATCAATTCATCACTCATTGCCATGTTTTAACTTTCCATGATAGGCGGTTACATGTAGGTTCTTCTCACAAACACGCGCGCGCGCGCGCGCACACATATATATATATATACATACATATACAATTATTAAATGTCAATACATATTACATCCCATTCATGCATCAGATTACATATACAGATGAGTGATCTGTCCCGACTCAGAATGACTCCCCGCGTAGAGCTCTGAGCACTCTGGAGTGAGGAGCATCAGGGTCACCACGCATGGCATTCTCTTTCCATATCCTTGCAGCTCTACGCAGTGCCTCCTCAGCCGTGTCCAACTGCTCCGGCCTCCATCTAATGACATCTCTACCTGCACCATACTCCGATACGGCAGCCGTGCCGTACATTACACGCGTAATGGGCTTCCGGGTATCTGCGAACTCTATCTCCGACAACGGCGAAGCCTTGTGATGCTTGTAGTACTCTCGTTCGTCTTCCCTATCTCTATCTGTCTTGTGCTCCTCATTTTCCTTGTCCCTTGGCAAGGGTGTACCATCCAGCCCCACACAGCTCACCTTTTCCAAATCGAAATTCTCTAATGATAAACCAGTGGAAGCTGTTGCGTATTGGCTAGCTCGCCTTTTCTGCGTATAATTGATTGGGTGGTCCGACGGATCCGGCTGCAGAGTCACATCTGTCTTCTCTAGCCTTGGGAAACTTGCGTTTGGATATGAGGGTTTATTAGGAGGTGAAACCGGTTCTGTTCCTGTTCCTTTTCCTTTGCCCCAGCTGCTGGGTGGTTTGTCTACTTGCCTCTGTTGCTCATCAACGGCTGCTTTTTCCTCTGCAACATTTTCTGTAGCCTATACACAGATTTTCATCAATTGATGTTGTAGTTGATTATAGCCAGTAGCTAGGTCGTAGTTGGCTGAATGGATACATAGAAAGACAATATTGTACATCCACCTAATTGAAGGCAAAAAACTCAATTGGAGCTCAGATATATATGTCTTACTTGAAGATCTCCGGTGGTGACAACAGGGTCAGCTTCATAGTCCCCAGCGTGAAGGGCTGGGTCAGCAGGGCGACTAGCCTTGGCCGAAGCATGTCCTGGTTGCAGAGATTGAGCTTGATTGCTAAGCACCCAAACTGACCTTGACCTTGGTGCTACAGCAGCAGCCACTGTTTTTTGTAAATATTGCATTTTGATCCCTATGGTAAATGATCTGATCTGATCTGATATGCCTCAATTCAATTGTTTTTTAGCTCGTATTGCTTTCTTTAAATTGATGGCCTCCTCAGTTGGAGTTGTGGAAAGTCCTGGAACAATACAGAGCTGCAGGCAGGGGAACCTCCTAGAATGTCTAGGAGTAGAAAGAGGTTGTAGGGTCAACTGTGAGGACACGTGTAACTACATGCACTGACGTGGTAACAGTTTAGATTTAGAATGTCTAGGTGTACTTTGCGTGTCACCTTCTGATTCTTTTCTTTACAACATCTTTAAACAAAGATGATTATTACTACTGTTTTTGTCTGTAATACAAATGATTGAAGATTGTGGAGGAGAGGAACCCAGAAGCAAGTAGAAAGAAGTCATCTCATGTTTTAATTGGACTTTGGATATGCATGCGTTTTGTTCTTATCTCAACTACCATGGAATTCTCTGGTAGGATTGATTTTTGAATAGGTCCATTGTTCTTACTTTTTTTAAAAAAAATTATAAAAACAATTAAATGAATTTGTTTATTAGTAATAATAGTGTTAACTCACTAATCCCCTTCTGAAATCTCTCCAAGTTCGTGAAAAAACAATGTTACAAAGAAAACAATACCAATGAGAAGTAATGCCCCTGCAAGTAACAAAACACAATGATGGCTTAACTTAATGATCACTACTTGATAGCATATATCAACCATCGAGCAAGTTCTAAACAACCACCAAGCATATATGTATATATAAAGCTGAAAAACATAAAACAACCATCAACCAAACAAATGAAGGCTTTTGGTTTGCATGAATGTTGCAAAATTTCATACAAATGAATTGGCAGCTGCTGCAAAAGCATCATTTAGAATTTAGATACATACAAGAGTGAGGAAACAGAGTTTTAAGCATAGACGGCGCCGCCAGTGCCACTAGAACAAGATAGGGCCATCAACAGTATAGCGGCTTCTTCTTCTTCTTTCAACTTCCTCTTGTGGAAGTGGAACACCATTTCGACCATTTCTCTTTCCATAGACTTCAATCCTAGCTTCAAAGGGGCTCCAATAGTCTTGTGTTTCCTCCTCTCTGTTCCAGTTGCTCCTTTGTTTAAACCAACAAGAGCCCTTTTTCTCTTTCTGTATTTAATCCCACATGCATTGCAAAGAGTCTGAAAACATCATGTATATATTATTATTATATGCCCTTCAATTAATGAAAGAACCAAACCAAATTCAACAAAAGGAAAATGGATATGAATTATAAGTTGATCCATGAAATGAAATTTTACCCTTGGCCCAGCTGGACCTCCCCTCCATAATGGTGTTTTTGTTGTGTGGCAATCTGTACAGCTTTTGCTGGGCGGCGCAATGCTACTCTGATTCATGTGCTCTGCCTCTGATCCCTGTTTTCAGAAATGAAGGTTAGCTAAGCTAGCTAGTTACACTTTTATGAATGAACTATCAATATCAGTTCAGTGGATGCTAAAAAACATCAGAAGATGGATGGCTCTTACTTTCTGTCTTTGATCCATGATACTTGACACAGCGAGCTCTTATTTCAGTGGTTTCATATTCATGAGAAGAATAAAAGGCCCAAGAAATCAGAATGGGTGGTGAGTTTGATCAAACACACCTACAACACATCTAGCTAGCGGCTGATCGCTGATCAACAGCACACTTCACACAGGGATGGATGGATCATGGATGTTAAATAAATGAACCCCACCCCATGAAACATATCCTTGGCTAGCTACGACTAATACTAGTACTAGTAGAGATCAAACAATTTCGTTACGACCAGCGACTGAGGGAGAAATATAATGGTTGGCGAAAAGAGGGAGGCGCGCAGGGGGAAAACAAAACAGGGACAAGAAAAGCGTATAGACGGAATTATATATTTGCTAAATGTATATATATTATAGCCACGACAAAATTTGAAAAACGTCTTTGGGGAGGTGGGGGCAACACAAAACCCTAGCTCTGGTATATTCTAAAATGACTTAAACGCCCCAAGACTTCCCCACCTCTGTTTGTATATTCTTAAAAATATTCGGTGTTTTGTGTCCCTTTGCTTTACAGGAGCTGCATTCATTTTCAGTTGTTTTGAAAGAAGGTTTGGGCCATCCCAGTCCAATCACTGTCTCCTTTGATATTGAAAATTGAAATATAATTTAATTACACACATATTTTCACCTTGGCTTTGGGTAATGGCTTGGTTAATAGTTATCCAAGTGGAGGGAGGAAAGGCTGTTGTTTGTGGGCCAGTGATGAGTGGTGAGATACAGATAAAGAGCCAGAAACCATGAGCTTTGGTATTTTGTCATTACGTTTCAAGAAATAAGAAATAAGAAATATTATACAAACAAGATGGAATAAGAAGTTAGGGAGATAAAGTTACAATAACAGACAAAATCCAGCCCATAGATTGATTCTGGTCCATATGCAAATAGCGACGCACTGACAGACAGCCAGTCTCTTTCTTTTTATTGTACAGAGACAGACATGGCAGACATGGCAATATGGATGGATGGATGGAAACCCCCCTTCCCTTTCCCTTCCCTTCAGCGTGGTCCATCCCAAGTGAGCTTGTTGAAGACAGATCAAATTCAAACACACTTATCATTTGGGCTTCAAATGTTTTTTCATCTATCCAACGCTTTTGAATTATTTATCAAATCCATGGATACTTGAGCCATGACTGTTCCTCCACTTCGTATTAATTTGAAAAGAAAAAAAACACAGAAGAAGAAGAAGATGCTCTAGCTAGCAGATAGCTGTAAAGTAAACTCCTCCTCGATTATATGGAATAACCATGTTCAAATATTTATTTATATTACACATAGTCAGATCAGAGCTCCTTAAACATACATATTGTATTTGTTAGTAAAACACGTGTAATTAATGAACACTACATCAAAAGAAATGAATGGTAAGCCTAGTAGAGCTGAGCGGGTTAGTACTAGTTTAATATATATCCTTGGTGTGTCGACCGAGTTTGAGGCAAATCTGAGCAAGCAGAGCAAATAGAGAGCCAAGCAAGTACATGATCCAGGATAATACAAGCAATGCCCAGTCCTCAAGGCTTTTCTTGGGTGAGTGGGTTCTGTCCGATATCAGCAATGCCCTATACACTGCTTCAGTGACGGCATAGGCTGAAACTGGGTCTGATTCTTCTGCCAGAAATCCGTACTCGGTAAGGCACACGATGTCATATACTCCACTGGTCTCCGATACACCCACACTTTCACAGATTTTGAGCCGCCCTTCAATCCTCTCCTCAGTTGATAACATGTCGCCATGTGTCAAGATCAAGATAGGCCTCTCATCATCATCTGCACTCCCAAATTATATTACATTATATTATATTATATATATTATAATTGAAGAATTAAATGATAAAAAGGAATGAAGAAAACTTACTACAATTTGTGAAAGCGTTGACAGAGCAGAAAAGCTGCCTCGTGGCCTCCATTGGCTTAGAATCACCAGCCTTCAATGCCTTGTAGATTTCTGCCATGTTAGCCACCACCATTGCACAATTCACTCTCCTCCTCACAAACTTTGAAGCCGAATATTCTTCATGTTCCATTAACGCAGCATCGTCGCCTGGTCTTAAGCACACTTGGTTATGGCGAACCCCGTCATTCATCCAATTTGACACTTGTTCTTCAACACCCTCACCCATTTGGTCGTACTCGAATCCCCTCGAGTCAAACACACAGAACCCACTTCGCGAAGACCTTAGCACATTGTGCTCTTTCAAAACCATGCTAGCTCTAGATTTACTACTATGGTTTGAAGAATAACTTCCTGCAAACACAAATAAAAATTCAATTAATTACTACTTAATAATAATAACAATGGATATCATGTAGCCCATTGTGCACGCAGCACGTACCAATACAAATATACCATGTTGTTAATACTTTATTAAAAGAAAAAAGAACAGTATTATATGTATAATAATATATATTTTGTTTTTTGTGTTTGTGTAATATGTATATAATTAAGGTAAGGAAGTAAGTTAAAATATATAGCTAATCAGGTTAATTAATTCGTACCTGTCTCCGGCGGTGATGTTTGAGCAAAGGGTACGAGTCCGGAGCGACCCAAAACAGAGTACATAAGGTTGACGAGGGAGGTCTTGCCAGAAGCAGAGAAGCCAACCAAGAGAATTGTGGCCAGCGGTGGGATGTCCATGTTTTCCTTAATGATACCTCCTATAGGCATCCAGAAATCACCTGATCGATACATGTGCAGCTTGTGCCGGAGCTCATTCAGCCCTTCGTGATGACTGTGCGTTGCCACCAAAGCCAGTCTCTCCAACTCTCTCACCACTCTCATCCTTGGATCAACCTTCATCATCTTAACATCAAACTTTGCACCCCATGATCTCCACCAACAATTATTATTAGCAGCTACTGATCTTGGCCAGTACTCTTCATCATTCTCGTCTGTAGTTGATTCATCTGTGCTGGAACAGAGCAGCTGGTTCTTCATTTCCACGATATACTCTTGTTCAACTTCTTAGTTGTATGCTAGCTGTGCTTTGAGTTTAATTCGAGTATCCACCAAAAAAGAAAAAGGCAAGAAATCATATGAATATATGATTATATGTATGGACAAAGGAGTCTCCTTCAATGGGGTCCAGATGGGTCAAGGCGGGACTCGCCTTTAGATTAAATCCAAAGGCTGCTGCTTCCTATCTCTTTCCTGCACTTGTAGGCACCTTCACGATTTTACCACAACACCCACACATAGGTCACGGGTGGTGAATGGTGATGGGCATTTTCGCCATATGCCAACGTAAATACATGGTCATATCATATGTGCGTCTTGTTTGTTTTACTTATCGCTTTTGGGGTAAGTTTCTGGTGAAAATTTGTAACTTGTCTCATGTTTTTCCAATTCATGTCAAATCAGAATCCATCCCCATCCTAGGCCTTCCTGGGTAGGGTAGTGTGTGTGAGAGTGAGAGGGGTCAATTGTTAAAGTAAGAAAAACGAAAAAGAAAATGTGTCTGTTGTATTTGAGGAACTCATAATCATAAATATAGATAGAGTGAAGAAAAGGAAAGACACTGCGGCAAAGCAATTGAAATTGGAAGTGAAATGGAGAATAAGTTATCGAGCGTGGCAAAGAGTTTTGCACCATCTCCCATTCAGGAACTGTCCCATCTTGCCCAGAAATGCAACGCCATCAACCTCGCCGAAGGCTTTCCAGATTTCCCTGCACCTTCCCATATCAAATCCGCTGCCATTTCCGCTATTCATTCCGACTTCAATCAATACAGGTAGGTAGGTAGGTACACTAGAAATTCATGTGCTCAGCTCAGCTCTGCTTCATCAAAATGAAATTGAATTTGAAACACCCACTCACTTCCCCTGCCCACCACTGCATATAAACTACGTACCTTGACTTGACTAGCTCAAGTTAAATATTAATGTTCCTTTGATGTTAATTAATGTAAGGCATGTACCTGGAATATGTGACCTCCTGGCAAACATAATGAAGCAAATCCATGGATTGGATGTCAACCCTCTTACTGATATAGCTATTTGTTGTGGCCAATCTGAGGCCTTCGCGGCAGCTGCCTTTGCAAGTATGCTACCTCATCACTCTAAGCTCCACTTTCATTTATCACCTTCAATATTAACTTCTTTTTCCTTTTCCTACATGCACAAGCAGAAGCAGAAACTTTATTATAAACTAAAATGGCTGGGAGTGGAGAGAGTCCCAAGAACCACTGCATAATATTCTGAGTCTTAATGGGATTCCTTTTTCTTTTTGTTTCTTTTTTTTCTCTTTTTCTTGTTTGGGGATTGATATAATTTGTTTTCCTCTCCTGGTTGGATAGTAATAGACAAGGGTGATGAAGTTGTACTGTTTGACCCTTGCTATGAAACATATGAAGGATGCATTAAGATGGCTGGGGGAGTCCCAGTAAGCCTCTGCTTCCTATTACTTGTCACTGAAGGCACTTTGTGTTATGAATTCAGATTAGAGCAGCAGCTGCTTGATGGTCAGACGGAATTTCAAATTTCTACTAATTTTTTTTTTCAATACAATGAATGTCACAGGTATACGTCGCTCTCGACCCACCTCAGTGGACCTTGGACCCTAACAAATTCATCAACTCTTTCACTGGGAGAACAAAAGCTGTAGTACTCAACAGGTTAGAAGCAACCACCAAGAAATCATATTTCTCGTATTATTATGTCGATATGTACTGATGTAAATTTTGCAGTCCTCACAACCCAACTGGCAAAGTATTCACTAAAGATGAACTTGAGATTATTGCTGGAGAATGTCGCACGAGGAATTGCCTAGCTATTACAGATGAAGTATGACATTCTTTTCCTTATACTAACAAGACGTAGGTATATTGAACCATAAGCTTTTTCTGAAAACTGCTAAAAGAATTATGGATTTTGTCCTTTTGAATGTTTGTGCAGGTATATGAGCATATAACCTTCAACAGTGAGAAACATATATCCCTTGCATCATTTCCAGGAATGCAAGAGCGGACCATTATCACGTCTTCCTTATCTAAAACGTTCAGTGTAACAGGTTACATCGTATTCTTCCCACAAAGAGCGTTGATTGAATTTGCTTCTGCATGCTTTTCTTTTTCTGTAATAGAGCTAATTGTTTCTTTCTGCTTCAAATTAAAATTTATTTGAATTGCATTGTCTCGTTGCTGAAATCTTGTCTATCAGGTTGGAGGGTCGGATGGGCAATTGCTCCAGCTTTCATTGCATCTGCAATCAGAAACATTCATACTAAACTTACAGATTCTGCTCCAGCACCTTTCCAAGAAGCTGCCTTGACTGCTTTGGGAAGCCCCCCTGAATACTTTGAATCATTGAGAAGTGTAAGGCCCAAAAGGCGTATCCCCTAGTAGCTTATTTGTCCATGTGATGCAACTGGTGATGATGACTAATCCATCATTGTTGTTGTCTCCATATGCTCAGGATTATGAATCAAGACGAGACTACATTGTCAATTTGCTAACCAGAGTTGGCTTTAAGATTCAGTTCAAGCCTCAGGGTGCGCTCTTTTTATTTGCAGAGCTACCTGAAAATTGCAAACTTTCTGATGTATGCTTGCCTTTTACTTTATTGGTCTTATAATTTTGCAGAAAACCTTCAATTAATTTCTCAGGGTTGGTTGCATTTCTCCAGTCCTGCAGGCTGCAATTCAGTCTATGTTCCTTAATTTTAGATAAATTACTTGTTTTTGTGATATGAATGATTGAGATTCATGTTTTTTTTTCAGGTAGATTATGTTAAAATGTTAATACAGAAAGCAGGGGTTGTGGCTGTGCCAGGATGTGGATTTTTTCATACGCATTTGTCTCGGGAGAAATTTTCTCTGGGAGGTTACAGCTATCAGGAGAGATACATTAGGTTTGCTTTCTGTAAAAGTGATCAGACTTTGGCTTCTGCTGCAAAAAGACTTGGAGAGCTTATTGATGCTACAGGTTGTCTCAATCTGCAATGACTCGGAAGGAAGAATTACTCAAATTTGTGTACTTGACATTGAGATGATATTGGAAGATAGAACTGCACTGAGAATAGTGTAAGCTCATCTTATTATACTGAACCTGCAGAAAAATTATCAGACCTTTTTGGTAGTAATCTTATTAGACTTCACCGAGAAATTTTGTTGTTGGACAAGGAAAAAAAATGCAAAAATAGAATCAACTGCTTTCAATTTTGTTTTTGGTTTTAAAAGAAAAAAATAGGAAAAAATAATATTTGACGACATAGTCACAAGAGATGAATGTTACTAAAACATCTCAGGGTATCCAAGGTGATGGAGGAGGTGGTGGGGGTGAAGTAAGGGGAGGAACTGCATAGAACATTGAGTTTCTGTCAATACCAGAAGGGGTTCCACTGGATAGTGCCACAAGTGCAGCAACAAGACCTGCATTTCCTACGAGGCTCGGCTCAGTGTAGTTGTAATTGAAACGGACATCCTGGAAATTGTCATGCTTATCAGGACCAGCAACCATGGCCCCGACAATTGTATTTGGATTCGGTGTCCGACTCTTTCTCCATTTCAATCCTCCTTTACAACCATACTTGATCTTATTGTGGGGAATGGATGCCCCTCTATGGTGCACATGCTGTGGAAAATGTTCACTGAAGCCTACAACGTAGCTTATACCCCGAGGATTTTTGCCAAGAATGTAATCAATTTGGGTCCTGGCAAACCTGCGCAGTTCTACATTGGAGTAGAATGTGGGTCCACAATACCATCCAGGAGCAGAAATAGCGTCAATGTAGTCACTATATAGTTGAGCTAAAAATGCTGCATAGACTACATACTGAAGAGGTTTTGGCCTTCCATGGTTCAACTGAATCAGCCCTCCTTTTGTTCTTCTGAAGCTTGGGAAAACAGGAAGGTAGGAGCACATTGTTTCTTCAGTCTGGCTGTGAAATTTTTTCAACATCTGTTCGTAGGGGTAGCCGTAACTCAGGAACAATCTCAATCGGCTTAGAAGCAAAAAAGCACCAGCATGCTTGTTGTCCCAGCTAAGTACCCTATTATCAAGGTCAGTCCACAAAGCCCTTTCATGCCCAACCAAGTCAGGGTTAGTAACAAGTTGAAGATAGGATAAATTCCCTGTTGCAAGATACAACCACGATCCCCCCCACAGAAATTCATCCCAGAAACCAGTAGAATTGTAGAGAGGGGACGACGGGTCTGCACCGCCCGCATACTTTGCACCTTGCTGTTTGGTAGCAAATTTAAAGAGTAAATCAGCACCATGAACAAGTTTCTGTGAGTACTTAATGTTATCTTTGAAAACAATGGATGCAGAAGCTAAAGCAGAAGCCATTTCTGCAGCGAGGGCTGGGCAGTTATAACACTCTTGTCCGGTTCTTTGATGGTCAATATCTTCAGGACGTATCCAACAGTCGTGAGAGTTAGCATCATGATCTCCTCCCCTAACATCTGCAACAACATTGGCAATGGAATGAGCAGATGAATTGAAGGTGGTGAGAAGGTAATCAGTGCCCCACTTGATGATGCCCTTGACATGGTCTAGCTCTCCTAGTGCTTCATATTTTGCACTGTATTCGATCACACTCCAGCTCAACATGGTCATGGCAAAAGATGCAGGGAAGCTCAACTTGCTTGCGTCTCCAGCGTCGTAATATCCGCCAACCAGAGTTTTGGTGTTAGAGTTGCCATCAGTCAAGCAGGAATCACCTCTCCATGAAACATTGTTGTCCTTTGGCAGTTTTCCAGCTGCGTATATAAAATGGAACTTACAGGTTAATTAGGAGTAGATGTTAGTTCAATTACAATTATCATACTACATTTTGGTATGTGTTTAACCAAGACCAAAGGGTCAAGGAGAAATTCTTTAGTATGACCGTGACACTTATGTGGTGTTACTGATCCACATAATTTATAATTCTACAATGACTGAGGTGGCAAATTACTCAGTCAGTAGTATGCATCTAATTTGGACTGGCGTTGAAAGTCCACCTACAAGGTATCTCTCTATTAAGACAATTTCCTGGATTTCCTTCTTGTGACAGCCATTCCTAATCCTAGCAAGCTAAATCGTTTTTCTCCTTTCTTTTTTCTTTTGGGGAAAAAGAAAAGGATTATGCTTTTGCTAATTTTTTTATATAAAAATAAATGGTGAGGACTGAGGAGGCATTGGTAGCACAATTTATAAGAAAAAAGAAGAGAGTTGGTAACTCATTTGTGCATTGGTATCACAATTCAAAGAACAAGAAGCGGCCTGTTGAAATTAAAGAAAATAAATCTTGGATACAAAGTGGTTAACAACTAAAAAAACTAGTGATAATAATTAGTCTAGTAAATGAGAGAGAGAGAGAGGAGAATGAATGAATATTGGGTAGAGAACAGAGTAGTACATACAGCGTTGGGCGTTGAAAAAGAGGAGCGCTTGGTGAAGGGCGGTGGTATAGTTGTGAGGTGATGAAGAGTTCAGATGATGGTGGTTGCGTTGAGCAATCTTAACTAAGACAATGATCAAGGCCACCAGAATGGCAACCCCAACCACCACTAGGCTCCTTATGCTCACCAGGCTCCCCAAAATCTTGCTCATCATCCTCCTCTTCTTCTTTATCCCATCAATATTCCTCTCATGGTCGTGACCACCATTTTCTTTATTTTCTGGCTTCAACAGCCAACCTTGCTTCACCTCATCCGACGTCGTCGCTGGCTCTGCCTCTATCTCCACCGGAGCACCACCCCATTTGTCATCTTTCTTCATCCTTCCTTCCTTCCTTCCTCTGAGAATGAGTTACTCGTGCTTTGCTCTGATTTATTATATATTTTGTAGCTATCTGTCTGTCTGTCTGCCAGCGTTAAAACAGATTGCTGTTTCCCTCTTTACTCTAATTACTCACTCTCACTCTTTTAATTTGATTTGGTGGTGCATGTTTGCAATTACAATTAGGCATCCAAATTGCTTTGTAATTGCCAAGTGTCATCAATTCAATCTTCATTTGCTGCCAAAAAAATTCCTATTACAAATATCATCCTATGTAATCATGTAATGTATCAATGTCATGCACAAACAAAATCAAGACAATTGTATCTTACTCAAACAATACCTATTTCTGCTCGACTATTCGATTTCTCAAATGGCCAAGACAATTGTGGAAGGTTTCTTTTACACACGTCTCCTCCAAACAATAAAAATTAAAAAAAAACTGTATATTAGTTAGTTTTAATTGGGAAATTGGATGCCCTAATTAAATGCGAACGTGTCTGCGTGAGTTGTCAAAGGTCAATCTTTCTCAAATCTTCACAATAAATGGAAAATTAATATGTCATTTCATTAATTTTGCCACTGCCTACTGCCTAGTGCATCGAATCCGTTTCCATATCTTAATTATGGTAACCTTCCAAGCCAATTCTCTCTCTCTTCAACTTGATTTGATTTTCGGGAGTTATATTTTCAGACTCCATTCTTTTTTGTTACCTTTCAGACTTTCATTTTTTATTTTTAAATACAATCCATAGTCAATTTTACGAAAAAGCAATAACTTAAATTTGGGTGTAAAAATAATGAACTTACTATCATAATCAACTGACTTAACTCACATTTGCTTCAAACTCCGATCTTTGTTAAACTTACGTAGATGTAAATGATTGAATTTCAATTCTTAACAAAATCATTACATTTTGTAAAATTAATTGAGGGTTCTATAATTTTTCATCTTATAGTAATATAAAGACCATTAAGATTAGGGTATTCTCACTTTAATTTGATATGAAATGGTAAACAAAATGGAGAAGACGACATTAAGTTCACTTACAAGTGAAATTACAATAAACAGAGCCCACACGCGCCACCACTTGTCCGTTGGTCAACTAACACAGGGCACCGCCTTACCATCTAGCAGTTTTCTTGCTTCTAAAACGATTACACTGAAACGGATATGCCTGAGGCCGAGACCGAGGGTTAAAAAACACTAAAGAAAAATGTCTGCGGCCGTCGACGTTGCTCCTCTTCTTATTCCCTACAGAGACAGAGACAGAGACAGAGACAGAGGCTCATCCAATGAGATCCACCGTCTTGTGCCCTCCGTACCATCCAACGGTCCAGGTGCATCGACAGCTAGTCAACGCCTCGCCTCTCTCGACGTCTTCCGTGGCCTCACAGTCGCGGTACGCCAAGCCACAGACAAATTCCTAATTTGGTTTCATTTTAATTTTGAGCTAATTTGGTTGGTGATACTGTGAGTGAGTGAGGCCATGGTATTTGTGGATTAGTTACAGGACTTGAATAAGAAGGATAAAGTGATGCTGTCCTGTGGATCAGTTGAATTCATTTTTGTTCACTTCATTGAATCTGTGGAATATTACCCCTGAATTGATCATTTGCCAAATTAATTAGTTAGTTAAAGCTTGATACGTATTACAATATTTTACTATCAAATAAAGTGTTTGATGAGTTGTGTATTACTATTACTTCACCATCACCTTCTAAATTCTCTCTCTATTTCCTGATTTGATTGGTTTTCTCACTCAAACAATGGATGAACAGTTGATGATTTTGGTTGATGATGCTGGAGGAGCTTTCCCATCGATTAATCACTCTCCGTGGTTCGGTATTACACTTGCGGATTTCGTAATGCCATTTTTTCTTTTTCTTGTTGGCGTCTCTATCAGTCTAGCATTCAAGGTAGAGTTTATCCTTCTTTCACCTCATATGCAAAATTGCCCTTGTTTTTCCATCCAATCTTTCTCTAAAACCCCTCTATGGGTCAGTGTTGTGTTTGCCCAAATGATATTGCCGGTGAAGCTCGTCTTTTAAAAATAAAGCATTTAGCTGCAATGGATTCCTATTTGCATACTTATAAACTGTCGGTAAATATATTAATTACCTTGCAGAAAATTTCTAACAAGACAACTGCCACAAAGAAAGTCATGCTCAGAGCAATAAATCTCTTTCTCCTGGGGTTGTTACTGCAAGGTATTCTGTCATTGTTCCATTAGCTATCCTAAGCATAAACTTGATCTAAACTCGAGATTCCTTGATCTTCTTTTAGCTATATTGGTCGAAGTCGAACAGTTGTAAGTTACTAAGTTCTCTAGTTGAATATAAATATTTTACTTTATATTTCGCGCTTACATTGTATTACTTACATGCACTAGGTCCGATGCATGGAACATAACTTATTATAAATGCTCTTGTTAATGAAGATTTCTTGTTTATTTCTCTTTGCAATGTGTTCTTAGGTGGGTATTTCCATGGGCGTAACCATTTAACATATGGAGTTGATGTTGGCAAGATACGTTGGCTAGGTGTGCTACAGGTACCATTATGGTTGATAGGTCTAGAAGTTTGTATCATTTTCTTCTCTGGTTTTAATTATGAGTGATTT